AATATTCCATCTACTATCTATCAATTGATTCAATGAATATACATAAGTGGGACATACAAGTGAATTAAGGGAAACTTGTTTTACATATGTTTCAGGTAATATTAAACCAGAACTCTCCCTGGAAGCCATGATGACTTGGGCTGCATCCACACTGCAAAAATAATCCAGTTCAAGACCACTTTAACTGTCCTGGCTCAATGCTAGGGAATTCTGAGAACTGTAGTTTTCTGAGACATTTAGCCTTCACTGTCAGAGAGCTCTGGTGCCAGAATAAACTACATTTCCCAAGATTTTCCAACATCGAGCCAGGGCAGTTAAAGTGGTCTCAAACCAGATTATTTCTACAATGTAAATTGAGGTTGTCATAAATCTGGACCTAAATTGAGGTTGTCAAAAGAAGGGCCACATCATGAGAAGGTACGACATTTAGAAAAGGCAATAATGCTGTGGAAGATGGAAGGAAGCAGAAAGAGAGGAAGACCAAACGGCAGATGAATAGATTCAATCAGAGAGACAATGGGCCTGAGCTTGCAGGATCTGAGCAGGGAGGTAAAGAATAGGAGGACTTGGCGACATCTTATTTACAGGGACAGCATGAGTTGGGATAGACTTAAATGCAGCTAACAACAACAACAGGTAATATTATATAAATTGAAATCATGCATATAAATTATTACAAAAATGTCTTTCATTTCTAGATTCTTTCTGTGAATCTGTATGTGGTGGGTGAGAGAAGCAGAGAGAAGAGAGAGTGTATATTCTGAACTGACTGACAATAATCTCTTATACATATCAAGGGCCATGAAGTTTAACTTCAACACACAGTCTCTCTCTCTCTCTCTCTGTATCCAATCTCAGAGAGAGATAGAGAGAGAGAGAGAGAGAGAGAGAGAGAGAAAGGCATGAGATAATAAACACCTACTTACAAAATTGAAGGGGGAATAGAAAGTAGCTGAAGATTTAGTACAAGCACACAAAGCTTCCAACTGTGCCTTAAAAGACATTCTAAAATGAACTTGAATAAAATTAAGGTAAAGATCAGTACAACCAACAAGAAGTGGGTACTGAAAGGCATTTGTGACAGAGCAAACACATTAAATTTTACTAATAAGATTCATGCTTTTGAAATGTGTAAAATAAAGGGGATTAAGTGTATTTTTCAACAGTGTTCTTAATTAATTTCTTGCTTTTTAATTAAAGCAAACAAAGAAAAGCATCTCAAATGCATTCACAAATTAACCTAAGTGAGGGACAAAAATATTTTGTTAAATAACAGTGTGATACATTTTAATCAAGGGTTGTGTGTTTAAATTGCTTCTTTCATCCATTTGGAATGATTTTTTTTCATTATTCTTCTCTTCATTTACCTTTGTTCAGCATCCTTCATGTATACCTTTGAGGCCTGGGACATGAGCCAGAATGGTCATAATTGGTCCATGTCTAATTTGACCAGCAGATGTACTTAACTCCTTTCAAAATGGCTTTGTCAACAGAGCCAGACCTTGTTTTTTTTTAAGCTGGGTTTTTATGTCCCTGCTGCAGCTCTTTTGCATCCTTTTGGCACAGCGTGTATGCACAGTGCACCAAGAGGGCACCCTGATGCCGTGTACATGGGTGCACAGCGTCTGGGTGGAATCGGGGTGGCTGGCGTGCAGTTGCCCTGCCCCAACTCCTCCCCCAGGCTGGCCTAAACTGCTAGTCTGCATCAGCCCTAAATTGAAGCTATCGTACTTTGGCCAGATTATAAGAATGCATGTGTCACTGGGAAAGACAATGATGCTAGGAAAGGCAGAAGGCAGGAGAAAGAGAGAAGGACCACATGCCAGATGGTATGCTCAGGCAAAGAGACTATTTGCAGACTGCTAGAAATAGTGCAAATTGAGTCCACTTTAAGGGTTAGGGTTAGGGTTAGGGAATCATGGGAACTGTATTTTATTGTGGCACCAGAGCTCTCTGACAGAGAAGGCTCAATGTCTCAGGGGGGAAAAACAATTCCCATGATTCCCTAGCACTAACCCTAACCCTTAAAGTGGATTCAATTTGCACTATTTCTGGCAGTCTACAAAGGCCCTATATTCCTGAGCCTGAAGGATCTGAGTAGAGCAGTGGAGGATGGGGAGTCTTGGAGATGTTTCATTGATAGGGTTGCCATGAGTTGAGGTTGACTCGAGTGTAGTTAACAAGAAGAAGAAGAAGAAAACAACATGCAGAATATAGTAAGAGACACCTTCCCTTGACTGGGAAACTACAGTTTTATTAAATCAGTCTAAAATATTATGTAAAATATTATTTATGTCTCAAATATTATTTTCTCTCACCTAAATGTAGACTTTCACACTTGTCTTTAGTGAATTTCATTTTATTAATTTCATTCCAATTCTATAGTTTTTTCAAGGTTCTTTTGAAATATTTTGAATTGCTTTCCTATTCTCTGATGTGTTAGCCAGCCCTCCCAGTTTTGTGTCACCTACAAACTTGATAAGTATTCCTATTAACTCATCATCTAAACAACTGATAACAATGTTGAAAGAGTGATGGCCTCAGGACAGAACCCTGCTTCACTTAACTTGAGACTTGCCTCTAGTTTGAATCACAGCCACTGATTATAACTCTTTGAACATGGTTTTCTAAACAAACATGGACCCATCTGAGGTTGTATCCATCTATGCAACATTTAATCAGTTTTATGTTCAAAAAATCATGGTGGACTTTATCAAATGTTTTGCTGAAATCCAGATAAACAATATCCACAGTATTCTCAATATCTATTAAATTAATGATTCAGTATATTTATCAGCTAGACCAACTAAGCAGCTACCTAGGCTTCAGAGGAGTGTAGTATTGATCTTTGAGGGGAACAAAATTTGGAAAGGAAAAGGATGAAGTTAAAAGTTTTAAGAGACCTGAATTTTAGCATCATAAACATAAAGATTATTCAAAATGATTTGTATGCATTTGTTTTTGGGAAAAATAACCAAAGATTTTGTATTACTTATTCCTGCAATTTAAAATAAATTTAGCCATTTTGTGCTTTTTATCATTTCTATTTTCCATTTTTGAATATTGAAGTTAGATTTTGGGGTGGGGGTGGGGGCGGGGGCGGGGGTGGGGATGGGGGCTAGCTAGCCTTGGCTAGAGTGCAAATAGTCTGGCACTAGGATAATTCATAGGATGTCCGCTTTCTCTTTTGCATGCCACACTGGGCTCCTATTTTAGGTAGTTGACCTAAGAAACCCAATGGCCTTATGATTATTTGACATGACATGGTCATGTTTTAAAATGCTGAATCACCTGGTTATGAATTTCCTGCAACCTCTTTCTGAGTTTCCTTTTCACAGTCTGTCTAATATGCATTGCTGAGTGCAAGTAATGATTTATGCTGTCTGCAAACCTTTTCTTCATGGAGTATATTTCACCCCATCTCTAACAATTCTTGCACAATAGACTGCAAGTCTTAGCAACAGTATTGAATATAGGCATGAGAAAGAAATCCAAGGGTACTCAGTAGGAATATTATTACTAGTCTTCTCATCATCAGTTCAAGCAAAATGAATTTAAAAAGCAGCACGAGTAGGAACATTACCCCCAAAGTTAAAAAATTGAGCAAGAAGCAGACCATATTTTGCACTAGTTCATTCTGCAATTTGAACCACATTTTTTTCAACTTGATGCCAGGATATAAAGACTTTAGAGTACAGCAGGGGAAATAAATGTGTGCTTAATCCATCCTGCTGACCAGTGAATGAGTACAATCCAGCTCATAGAAGAGTCCAGTAAATGAGAGAATTGGAAAAGAAAGTGGTATGCTATCTATAAGTTAAATTGTGTAGTTCCACCAATTCCACCTGTTTCTCCTCTCACAATTGCATTTCCTGATAGTTATTTGCTAGGAAAGAAATATGTAAGTGGGGGGAAATTGTAATGTGATCTGTCATTGTTGATCGCAGTGAAAAGAACCAGCAAAAATCACCTGCATTTTTTCCTCCAGAATAATGTCCTCTGAGTGGAATGCATCTAATGTACAATCTGTATCAGATTCCCAAATGTTTTTAATATGACTATTTTATCCCTATCAATATAAACAGGTTTGTTACTTTCACTCTGTGACCTGACTACATTCACCTCCCATTACTACAAATGTGACCTGCGTGATTAAGTTGATTATTTCAGTAGATTGGTTCAGTATCCATTTAGCCATAATAGAGATGCTGAGAAAGTATCATAAGCTTGTTGTCTTAGTGAGGTTTTTATACAGATATTCATCAATTTAATAAGGCTTCTTAAGGATCACAATCAAAAAGCAAATGGAAACCTTTTGCTGGCATTTTGTCCAGTCTTGTAGGCAATGGACCAATTCTATGAAATCACAGATGGAGGAAGGAAAAGGATGGATACAATGGATCTTTAATCCTACATTGTATCTTAAGGCTAGTGAAACTGGATCTTTTTATTTCTTTTTTTGTGGGTAGAAGTAGTTAGCCTTGACATGGGCTAAATCTACAGGAAATAAAAAATGATACAGTCTTTCTTCGATCTCAGTCCTGGCATGTCATACAATGTTCTTCCCAATCTTTTGAAATCAGATCTATTACATTCTGCAGGCTCTAGGGTAGTTTTTGGTAAAATCCTTCATTTTAGTCTGTGATTTTGGGGAAGAACCAATGCATTTCTTTCTTTCTTTCTTTCTTTCTTTCTTTCTTTCTTTCTTTCTTTCTTTCTTTCTTTCTTTCTTTTTTTCTCTTCCTTCCTTCCTTCCTTCCTTCCTTCCTTCCTTCCTTCCTTCCTTCCTTCCTTCTTCTTCTTTTTTTTAAACTGTGTAGCCAGGATTAAGGACAGAACAAAATGGAGTGGACCGAGGGGTATATCAGGAGACCAATTGCATCTATGATAGCCAGGAAGGCTCAGCACTATTTTTTCTTTGCATTCTGGACACATATAAACTTTGAATCTTTGAATATATGCTTGCCTTTAGATGGTCTTTTGAGTAGAGTGGTAGTGGAGCCAGTGTGGTGCAGTTGTTTGAGTGTTGGATTATAACTCTGGAATCCAGGGTTCAAATCCCTGCTTGGCCCCCTCTGAAAAAACTTGCCAAGAAAACACCATAGTAGATTCAAATTAGGGTCTAGCATTATGAACTACTTTTCTGCAAGTATGCACTATTGAATTCTGTGGAACTTACTTCTGAGCAGACCTACATAACATTGCACTGTATTTCTTGAATACTATACCTACCTTCCCATGTGTAGGAATGTAATTTACTTATGGCTACACATGCATAGGATTGCGCTCTTAAGGTTGCAATTCTGTACATACTTGCAGGGGGGGATAGTGAGGCCAATGCTGTGAATAGGGGGGAGGTAGTGGCACAGCTAATGGGGGAACAGCACTGCCAAGTGAGTGAATGCATATGAACATTATGTGAATATGTGTGTGCACTTTGGAAAACAATAACACAAAACTGCAAAGAATGTCATGTATTTTTTTAAAAAAAATATTATTTATTTATTTATTTATTTATTTATTTGTAGTCCCTGTGATTATGTTGTTGTTGTTGGGGAACCAGAAGCTGTGAATTTTATTACCATGTGATCTAGCTAGCACTTGTTCACAGGAGCTACACTCCTTCAGGCTGGTTTTGATTTATGATGAGGGCTTTGTGTGGCTTGTCCTTTTGATTCCAATTTGTATTAAATGGATTACATTTGGTTTAGAGGGGTTAAACTGAAACAATAATAGTTCATGCTGGAACTGAGAGCCTTTATCCACGTTTTCTGGTTTCATGCACTGATAGCTGTCAATGAGATCTTGTACTTTTCTGAATATCATAATGGTGTTGGGTCAGAGAGGTTATACCATTTTTTCTGGTATACTCTTTTCTTGCCTTATTTTAGATAGGCTTGGCATGGAATGATTTGGTTTATGTTGTTATTATTATTATTATTATTATTATTATTATTATTATTATTATTATTATCATTAATTTATAAAGCACAATAACATTTGCACAGCACTTTACATAGTAGAAGTCAAATAAAATAAGAATAAGAATATGAATAAAGCCTGCCAAGTGATGCACAATCTAAAACACCAACATTACAAGATTAAAAACATCTCTAAAATAATGCTAATTAGTATAAAAGGAAGACAAAGAAACAACAGATTAACAACCAATAATTTGGAATGCCTCCGAAAACAAAAGTGTCTTCAACTTGACCTTGAAATGAGCCAAGGAAGTGATAGTTCTTAGTTGTGTGGGGAGGAGACTCCAGGCATGGGGAACAGCACAGGAGAAGGGGCGAATTCCAGCAGGGGAGGAGCAGAACATCAGCTGGGTCAGGAAACCAGTGTCATAAGATCTCAATGTGCAGGGAGGGCAAGAAGGAGAGACAAGCACTGACAAATAAGAGGGAGCTGGCTTCTGGCTGGATAGGGCACCCTGAAGAGACTGCCCGCGGGACGTCTC